GGCCATTGGTTGCCAGATTTATCTATACAAAAGTTTTTTTAACAATTGGACTGGAGAGGTTTATCAAGGTGGAAGCAAACCCAAGAAAGGAAAGTCTAGGCCAGTGGTGGTGGCCAACCTCTACGGTCAAATGCCTCCCTCAATCAAATATTGGACCAAGAAACATTTATTTTGTTGGCCAGCCAAAGAGAAACCTAACGAAGGGAAGTCTAAATCAATAGTGGAGGAGGGGGGGAAAAGGAGGAAGGGAAATGTGGAGTGGGAGAGGTGGAGGTGAGAGATAGAGAGGAGGGTAGGGCAGAGAGGAGGGTAGGGGAGAGAGGAAGAGGGGGGAGGAGAGGCGGAGGAGGGTGGGAGGGAGAGAGAAGGTGAGAGAGAGAAGGGGTAAAGAGAGAGGAGAAGGGAGGGGATAGAGAGGAGCAGAGAGAGTGAGAGATAGAGAGGGGGAGAAAAGAGAGGTTGGAGCGAGAAGAGAGAGGGGGAGAGGGAGAGGAGGGGATAGACAGGAGGAGAGAGGGGGAGAGAGAGAAGAAGAAGAGAGAAATCTGCTTCATTTTAAGTAGAGATCTAAATCTATTTGTTTGTACAAGTCTTGGAGTACATGGAGCATAACCTTATGCATAAAAAGCCAGTTATTTGTAGCATTTGTGGAAAAGCTATGCGTGTCCTCAGGCCAGCAGAGGTATTTTGTTACAGTACAGTGACCATCCTTCAATAAGTCAAGAAAGCCACGGTTTAGGTGCCCTGAAGGCCCTCGTGGTGAAGTATCTCATCTTGGCTTCCACCCTCCTGCTCTGCTCTTGACCAATGATGGTTAAGTAGGCCATCTCCCCAAGCTGTTCGCAGGGTTTTAGCTCTTCATGAACCAGCAATTAAACAGCGGCCAGTTTCCAGGCATGTAATAGAAGCAAACACTCTTAGACTCTAACCTCAGGTGTTGACCTGGCTCAGTTGGTAGCACACCATGGGTCAGAAGGTTGTGGGTTCAAATCCCACGTCAGGGACTTTGTGCACAGTCGGAGCTGATGTTATGAAGCAGTACTGGGAGAATCTCTGATTTGATGAGCATTGCCTTCAAGTGCTCTGAGATGCTATCCTGCTTGAGGGGCACTATATAAATTCAAGGTGGTGGTGTTGTTGCAGATACCAAAGATAAGTCAAGGACCAGTCTGCCTGTTCAGTTAGATTTTAAAGATCCCACGGCATTATTTGAAAAGAGAAGGGAGTTTCCCTCTCTCCCGGTGTCCTGACCAACAATCCTCCAAATAATATTGGTCATTCATTCATGGCTCTTTGTGGAAACATTGTTCTGCGCAAATTGGCTGCCCTGTTGACTTACAAAGTGCAGTATATCCTGTGAAGCGTTTTGAGGCATCCTCCCATTGCAAAAGGAGCTGTATCAAATGCATGGATTATTATTATATTATTATTTTTAATGACTGGTCAACTCTATCCATGTTCTCCTCCTCTCCCTACCCTCCATATATTCCGTGAAGCGCTATGAGACATCTCAACGACGTGATAAGGTGCTATGTCAAATGCAAGGATTATTATTATATTATAAAACTGTCATTAAGAAATTGGCTCAAGGTTTTCCATAATCCTGCCTGATCCGAACCAAGCTCAGGGGAAATTTTGGACTCAGTATTTGTATTCCTGTCCAATACTTCAAATCAACCTGAAATCCAAACCAAATGTGAAGCTTTAAGCTTCAGTGTTCTGCAACATCATTCTGAATTATGCGTCATCTTTTCTTGGCTTGTTGGTTTTACTTACCGTTTGTTGGTTCAGCGATCAAACACTTTTATATTGAGAAGATCAATAAATCAAGAGTGAACAAAAATTGTGTTAGCCGCCTGGCTGCATGTTAAACATGTTAAACACATGAATGGTTTTCAAATCCCTTCATGCCCTCGCACCTCCCTACCTATCCGACTTGCTCACCCCCCCACCCTCCCCCCCCCCCCCCACTCCATCACCCACTGTCCCCAGTCGGCTGGCTCCATGCTTTTGATCGTGCTTACGGTCACCTCCCCCCTCTCCCTGGCTTGGAGTCAGACTGCGCCACTGTTAAGCACTCCGGGACCCTACCCACCGTGAAGGGTGATATGTAAATGGAAGTCAACATCGTTGTTCTAAGTCCTTGTATTTGACATAGCACCTTATTACTATGTTGAGACATCTCAAAACCTTTCACAGAATATACTGTAAAGTAGATTGACTGTATATGCGTGGGTGAAACGTGACAGCCATTTGCACAGAGCAGTGTCCCTCAAACAGTTGTGGATTCAGTGACAACATTTTCTTTGGAGGAATTATTACCTCTGGTAAGTGATCAGGCAATCGATTAACAGCCGGGATCCTACTTACTGCTAGGTAAACAGAAGCGTGTGAAGTAAGGAAACTTGCTAAATGGTTCGCCCTGTCAGGAATCAAACCCAGTCCTTTTCGCTTGTGAGGCGAGTGCTTATGCAGTACTACACAGGACACCACGAGTCTTAAGACTAAGACCTGGAGAGCATTCAAGCCTGAGAGGTTTCTGAACCTTGAAAACCCTTCTGGAGGCTCAGGTGTGAAATGAAGTCAGCAATAGAGGGAGCTGGGAAGATCAAAGAGAATCCAGGCACAGCTTTAGTGCGGTGAATATCATCAAAAGTTAATAGATTGACTGCCGAGACTGTTTGACTGACAGACCGGGGGATTTCACGACTGCTGGGCTTGTGAGGTGCCGAGCTTTAGTTATTTGGTCTTTGTTGCAGTTTGATTTAATAATAATAATTCTAGCATTTAGTGTAGCATCTTTCATGTCAGAAGACGTCCCAAAGCACAGGATTTACAGTAAAGTGCAGTGCCTGTGTGTTTTGTCTGCAAAGAAAAAATTGTGTGCTGTGCTGCACTTTGTGAGTGTATAACAGTTTCCAATTCGTTAGTATTAATAATCTAATAATAATAATCCTTGCATTTGAGGTAGCACCTTATCACGTCATTGAAATGTCTCAAAACGCTTCACAGAATATACTGTAAAGTGGAGTGACTGTGTATTTTGTGGGCGAAACATGGCAGCCAATTGCGCACAGCAGCGTCCCACAAACAGTCGTGGATTGAGTGAATTTTTTTTTGGGGGGAGGGGGGATTATTACCCCCGGAAAGTGATCCACCAATCGACTGGGTTCCTACTGACTGCTAGATAAACACAACGTGTGTGGAGAAAGGAAACTAGCCTAATGTTTTGCCTTTCCCGGGAAATGAACCCGGGTCCTCACGCTTGTGAGGCGAATGCTCTAACCACTGAGCTACAGGACGAGTTAATATGCGAAGTAGTGTCATGCTCGTGCAGTGGTGCATTGCAGTGCTGTGCAAGGATCCTGCCTCTCACCAGGCGCCTGTGTGCTGCTGTTCTGCCGACGTTTGCTGTGTGCCTTGTTCAATGTTCCTGCCTTCACCAGTTTTGCGTGTTATCCTTCAGGCCAGACCACCGAGCATTGCCACAGTCTGGCTCATCCTGGCCACTGGAATGGATCCCAGTTCAGTTCAGTTGGAGCTGCCAGGCATATTAACAACCTGTGTGCCGTATAGCACTAAACTGGGGTGGGAGAGTGGGAGGAAGGTGGGGGAGGAAGAGGATCCCATGGGGAGATATCCAGGAACCTTGCTAAAAGCAAACTCAAATTGTGTCCATCCTTCTTTATAATAATAATAATTTTCCTTGTGTTTGGTATAGCACCTCATCAGGCCTACGAGACGTCTCAAAGAGCTTCACACAATATTCTGTAGAGTAGATTGACTTTTGTGTATTTTGTTTTGACTGCAAAAAAAAGGAAGATAAGAAAACGAGGAGCTTTCGGTCCACCCGGCTGCTTTGCTCTTTGATCACAAGATCTTTTTCTGGATGAATAAAACCCTTCGGCCCGTCTGATCTCATTCCTCCATGAACACACACACTCCCATCCCCCCATCACTGCATCAAGCAGTTTTTTTAATGAGTTGTTGTGGCCCCTACATAAAGTGCTCCACAATAACATCTCACGATGGCCGCTATATAAATGGAGTTGTTTGTCTTGTCCCCAGATCCTTGACACTCTTACTCACCAAGTGTCTTTATCAACTTCCCAATCAGTTCTGTCTCTTAGACCGTGCCTATGTTCACCTCCCCTTTCTCCGTGGCTCGGTGTCAAACTAGACCATTGTTTAAAGGCACCGTGACGTTATTCTGCATCAAGGGCGTTGTATAAATGCAAGTCATCGTTGTTGTTACCCCGACGGTCTTTCAGAAACGAGCAAGAGGATCCGGGTTTTGATTCCCTGGTGGGGCAAAACCTTGGTCAAGTTTTCTTACTCCGCACGCCTCTGTTTACCTCGCAGTAAGTAGGAATCCGGTGGTTAGTCGATTGTCAGATTGTTTCCGGGCGTAATAATCCCTTTAAAAAAAACAAAGTGCAGTCACTCAATCCACCACTGTTTGTAGGACGCTGTTTCGCCCACAAAGTACACAGTCAATTCACTTTACAATATATTCTGTGAAGCGCTTTGAGACGTCTCAATGACGTGATAAGGCGCTATATCAACTGCAAGAATTATTATTATTATTATTCTGGAGCAGTGCATTTGACATGCTCACAGCCCTCTGCGTCATGAAATGTTTTCTGATCTGGCTGATCAAACCAGCAAGGATCTTTGTACGAGAATTATTATTATATAAGAGGATGGGTGGGAGGGGGGGAATGATAGGGGAGGAAGCAATTGGGATTAAGTTAGACAAACTTCTTGGAGGAACAAACACCAACATGAAGAAATAGGACAAATGGCCTCCTGTTTGTGTCATATATTTCCACGGTTGTCTGGAAATCCCTGAGGCGAGGGGACATTCTTTAAAGGTTTCTTTTTGTTGGACGTTCGTTGGCGAGGATGGTTTAAACCCAAAATGTGCCGACTTATTTGCCGATGTGCTCTCTTCCCCTCCTCACGCCGTCGATCGCGGTGAATTGGTTGTGGAAACAAAGCGCCTTCACCACGAGGATGCACAGCAGGCAGATGGGGGCTCCGGGCAGGAATATCATCAAGAGCACCAGCGTGAGCGAGGAGATGTACAGCCTGGAGAACAACGACGGCAGCCAGTCAGACACGGCCGTGGGCACCGTGGGCACCAGCGGCAAGAAGAGGAGGTCCAGTCTGGGTGCCAAGATGGTGGCCATCGTCGGGCTGAGCAGGAGAAGCAGGAGCACGTCACAGCTGACACAGACTGGTGAGTACCCTTCACCATCACACACCATCACCATCATCACTCCCCCGAGAGACACACCATCATCACTCCCCAGTGAGAGACACCATCATCACTCCCCAGAGGGTGGCATACACACTCCATCACTCCCTAGAGAAAGAGACACACCACCATCATCACTCCCCAGAGGGACACACATACCATCATCACTCCCCAAAGAGATGCAGACAGAGACACAGAGAGAAACATAGACAAAGAGATAGACAGAGAGAGTGACTGAGAGAGAGAGACCATTTAGTGCTAGTCACTATAACATTCTCCATCACCCTCCATGAAGACCGACAGAGAGAGGGAGACACAGACAAAGACGGAGAGAAAAACAGTTGGAGGCGGAGAGAGAGGAAGACAGACAGAAAAAAACATTATCTGATTAACATACTATTTTCAGAGCCGACAGAGACACTATGGACAGAATGGCCTTCTTCTGCGCTGTAAATGTCTAAGAATCTAACTGATGTGTTAGTGATTTTTGCACAAGGCTGACATTTCTTTTCTCTTTAAGTAATAATCATTCTTGCTCTTGACATTGAGTCTTTCACGTCAGGAGGAAATCTCAAAATGCTTCACAGGATTTTACTGAAAGGTGGAGTGTTTGTGAATGCAGCAGCCAGTTTACACACATCAAAGTCCCACAAGCATCCAGGACTGATTGAGCACAACTAATTTTATCCGTGGGATTGTTTTCAGCACTCTGCAAAGCACTAAGTCTGTTTGTAGTCCATTGCCGAACAGATGTAGAGTCAGAGTGACAGCAGTGTGAGCTATTAATGTGTTTCATCAGCCGGGTGTCTGACACATACAGAAACCCATCACCGTTACTTAAGAGTATCCAAAGCAAACTGAGAATTCCATGCATCCCACCTATACATGGAAATCCCAGAGATATGTTGTTGGGATGGAATGCGCACTCTCTCTGGAGGGACGCATCCTGTTTATCTAATTCCGGAAAGCATCAGGCACAGTTTGGTAAGAGCGAAGGCTTGGGGACTACATTTGCATTGGGGTAACTGCTGGGGTAACCAGATAAAACTGCATAGCTTGCCATTGATACCACTGTCTGGCAAGCTTTCCCGCTGCTTGTTGAGCTAGGACAACCCGACCCGTTAGGGCTTAGGCTTACAGAATTAACAGGAGCTGAGTCGGATGACTCCTTGCCCCCAGTGACTGGTCTGCCCTTCCACATTGCTGATGAGCCAGGCTGAGCTGTGCTGTCGTCAGCAGTGCCCTGGAATACTGTGGACCTGTCTGGCTCAGGAACTGGACTAGAGACCGTCACAGAGGGCTCGACTCCAACATTCCACTGTGACCTTGGAACCAATTCAGCTCCAAGGAGACCCCATTTGCCTCCCCTCCCCCTCCCCAAGGAGGATAGAAGCGGATTGCTAGGAGCTGGTTGCAAGGGGAGGGTTGAGGTGGCTGTAGGCACGGTTGAAGAGCAAGGTCTTCAGGTGCGACACGAAGATAGGGAAGGAGGAAGGAGGGAGGGGACAAGGTAGAGGGTTTGAGGAAGATTGTTTCGGGATATAATGCGTGATCACTGATAGTAGACTGGAGGGCACGAGGGACAAGCAGGAGGCTGGAGCCAGTCGAGCCGAGGCAAAGGGCAGTGGGCTGGGGTGTAGGCAGGTCGGAGTATTTATTTTCTGCCAGGACTCAGAGAAAATGAAAGAGAATCGATCACTTTTTTTCTTCTGCGGATTTTGTTTTCTCTGCCCTGATGGTAGGCGTGGAAGAAGAGTGGATTGTTTTCTTATATAATGTTTTTATAGCCTGAAAAGAAGGGGCTCAGTAAGCTCTCAGGGGAGGGAGGGAGGGAGGGAGAGAAGGAGGGGGCAGGCTGGAGCATTGTGACTACATCTGGTGAGAGAGAACAAAACAAGAGGTTTCAGTAAAAATCCCATTTAGATCAGTCGCCCTGAGGAGTTAAGTGCTTTCAAGAGAAGAGAAGAGAGTGCTTCTCCCATCCCTGAGCCAGTCTTACAGAGGAGCCGAGTCATCGCGGATTGTGTAACACTAAGGTTCAAGGTGGATCCTAATGTGGAGAGTAAGTCCTGTGTGAAATGGGCTGAATTTTGGGGGGTGAGCAGAGGTGTGTGTGTGTGTCTGTGTTGGGGTGGGGAGTGGGGGAAGTGTGTAGTTTCTGAATATCGCAGATGGTGATAAAGAAGGAGATTTGTTTTCTCTTGATGAGGAGTCGTAAAGTGCTGTACTCAGGAGACGGATTGTTTAGACTGTGTTCAGAAGATGCCTTTAGTAGAGTTACATTTATTACTATTAACAACGTTAAGATTGATCCTTGGGTTGGGAGCTGAGGAGGGAGGGAGGAGAATGATGACCAAAAGCGCGGTCGGAGAGGTAGTTCTTGAGACGGAGTTTGAATGAGGGGAGGGAGGCAGTTGGAGGGGCTCTGAGATGGAGTTCCACAGATGGTCAATGAACGTGCAAGTTGCTTTCTCCTTGCAACAAAGACTTATCCCAATGAAAAGGCCTTTACAGTAAATAATGATAATAATCCTTTCATTTGATGTAGCGCCTTATCATGCTGAAACATTGCCTTTATCAGAGAGTGTTTGTACCAAAGGAGAAAGTGAGGACTGATCTCCTAAAAGGTTTACAGCACTCTATCAGGAACAAAACAGTCAGCCTCAGTTTATAGTGAATGCAACCAGCAGTGACTGGTGTGAGAGATTAAACATTTCACTGCTGGTCTTTGGCTGCACAAGATATTTTGGCCATTATGCTCCGAAGCTTTGGAACTTTCTCCCTCAATCCCTCGCCTTGCCCTCTCCTTCCCCTCTTTTAGATTACAACTGAAGACCTTCCTCTTCGACCGTGCGTACGGTCACCTCCTCCCTCCCCAAAGCTCGGCATCAGGCTCTGTCAATACTCTGAGAACACTGACCTGCCGGAAGGGTGCTTTATAAATGCAAGTCATTGTGGTCTATATTGTGGGGGCACAGTAAAGGCATCTTTGTTTGCTTACAAAACACAGTCACTGCACTTTATAGTGAATCAAATAGTAATCATTGTCCTTGCATTTGGTATAGCACCTTTCATGTTGAGAGGAAGTCCTGCATAGGATACACTGTACCGTGCAGGGTTTGTGTGTGTGGGCAACAGCGGCAACTGATTTGCGCACAGCAGTGTGCACTGTGAAACAGCCAAGAAATGAATGACCTATTTTATTTGGGGGATTGTTGGCCAGGACACCGAGAGAAACTCGCTTCCTTAAATTATGTGAAGCCCTTTGAGTTAACAACCAACTTGCATTTATATAAAGCCTTTCACATAGGAATTGCTAGACATAAAAAGACCAATGTCTATTTAGTTGGCCTTCTACCATCCTGGTATTCACAGGCTACAATGATGGAGATGTTGATGACAATTAATTCTGTATGGATAAGTCTACAACAGAGTGGAAAACTTTGGGAACCTTAGATCCAAAGTTGCCTGGTTCTTCCAAGCCATATTACACTACTCTAATAGGAATCAACGTAGGATAGTGTCTCAGAGCAGAGCAAAGTATAAGGACTAGTATTTAGTATAATTATTGTTATTTGGAATAAAGTCTAAGAGATCTTTGTTCTGCACCAACCTTACGAGTGCTTGATGTTGCACATTCCATGTTACCGCCTCCGATAATAACATTCCTCAGGGTTTGAAGCAGTAGCTAATCACTTCGTCGAAGGGTCTCAAAGCGCTTCACGGGATTCTGTTGTCAAGCGTAGTGACTGTGCACTTGCAGGCAAGCTCAATAACTGGACTGGGACTGGACGAGGCTCTACAACTAAAACACGGAGTAGGCAGTGCGCCAACACATTGCGGTGCCTGTCTTAGCTGTGGAACATATTCTCGGGACTTAAAGGCAAACCTTTTGCCACTGAAACAAAAGGAAACCATTGCCCAGGGTCCACGATTGCATTTCGAGTGGAAGTACTTTATTTTCTTTCTTGTCTTGAGCACATGCTGCAGGGCATGGATCCACCGAGCTCCAGTGATGCGTTTCACAGACTTTGGAAGCTCAGAATACGTTCAGCTTCGGTTACTGTTCATTGGGAGTTGGTCAATGTAACTCCTGACTCTTACATTTGATTGTAAGTGCCTTTAAGTGCTCTACGAGACTACCCTGCGTGAAAGACGCTATATAAATGCAACAGTAACAAAATTACATTTGTAGAGCAGTTGTCGTTGTTGTTTCACATCAGGCGGATGTCCCAAAATGCTTCACAGGATTTATTATAAAGGACAGTGACTGTGTTTTGTAGGTAAATGGCAATTTGTGCAGAGCAATGTCTCGCAAACAGCTGATGGAGTGAGTGAGCATTTTTATTTGGGGGATTGATGGCCCACTGGGAGAGAGAAACTCCCTGATCTTTTTAAATAATGCCACGGGATCTTTAACATCCTCCTAAACAGGCAGACAGGACCTCAGTTCAACGTCTCATCTGAAGGACGAAACCTCTGACAAAACAACACAGCCCCAGCACTGTATTAGAGCGTCAGCTTAGACTATATGATTGTGGGGCTTGAACCCAGAACCTTCTGACTCCTACTCCTCTCCTCCCCCTGTACACTCCTTTCCTCCTTTGTAGAAGACTTGGAGTGAAAGTTAGTGTTTTTGCCTCCGGTGAAATCCTTGATCCTTCTGTTTAGTGACGTGCGTTGCAAGCTCCTTTGTGTTCTGCTTTTCAACTGTAACATAAAGCCAAACCTACCACATGCCTATAGAGTTACAGGACCACTGTGCTGGGCTGTGGAGGAACATGAACAGCGATATTAACAGGAGCCAGTGTTGTGGAATATATGCATTCTTTTCCAGACACAGGGGAAATTTCCATGTGTCGGTGACATACCTCTTTGGTAGTCTCAATCTGGAAGATTTGACGATAGATAAGAGGCGAGCGATGGCAGAGGCACAGAGGCAGGGAATTCAAAGATGTGAGATAGTAATAACAATAATGATG